ATAGCTGCTCCTTCCGCCTGAGCTTCTTGGCATTGGGGACCTGGTGGGCGAGGACGCTGGGCGGGGGAAGCGCACAGGCCAAGTGGTGAGGGGAGCCTGGGAAGGGCCTGGCTCCCCAGTCGGGCTCCCACCCCTGCTCACCCCACACTCGGGCACCCGCCTCCAGCAGCCCCTCTCCCAGGCGCCCTCCCCAGGCCAGCTTCCTCCCAGCAGCCTGAGAGAGCATCTCCCCGTCTGTCTGCAGCCCAGGCCTCTCTGAGCCTGAGACCCAACAAAGCAACGCCTCTGGGGCCCCTGCCCCGACGTCTCCCAGGCACCTCACACACCACACAACACCGACCTCAGCAACGTCCCCAAAGCTCCTCCTCCTGCCACACTCCCATCTCCGGGCCGGCCCCCCCCTCCACCCACTGTCCACCCATCGCCTGACCACCTGCCCCCTCCTCCAGGGGTCAGTCACTAAGCCCGGCCTGACCCACCTCCTGCCCCCCCCCCAAATCCCTGGGCAGGTCCAGGTCCCACCCTCGCCTGCTACAGCCACAGCACCCCGGCCCTGCCTCACTCCCTCCAATCGTTCTCCAAGGCCCAAATCTGATCCCACCCCTGCCCTCCAAGTGACCCTCACACCCCCTCCCCAGGAGTTCCTTCAGGGCCAGGACGTGAGCGGGGCACAGGCAGGAGGCCCCGCCCAGAGGGGAAGCTGGGCCCAAGAGACTGGCACTCACTCTTTGGGGGCAGGGATCTTGGACGTGTTCTCTAACACCAGGTCCACCCGCAGGGGTTTCTTGAGGAGCAGTGGCCTCTTCTGGCCTTTGGTGCTCTTCCTGCCGCGCTCTGGGGGTGGAGAAAGGAGAGGAGTCAAGGCCGAGGCCTCCTCGTGCCCCAACACCAGCTCCGCACCCACCACATTGCCGTTCCTGGGACCTGCGTCCCAGCAGACCTGGGGGCCCCAGGCTGACTCAGGCCCCTGCCTGGGGGAGGACGCCCCCAAGGCTCTGCCTCCCACCACACCACCCCCCGGGCCAGCCGGGCCAGCCCTGTGCTGGGCGCAGAGGGGTCAGCCCCACACACAAGAGGCTCCCAGACACAGCGGGGACATGGCCACAGAACCAGGACCAACAAAGAAGGAAGCAGGTGGCCAGGTGACACCGAGGCCAGGAAGTGGGCTCAGGACCCGACAGCACAAGAGCCTTTTACTTCCAAAACCCCACAGCGAGAAGCGAGAACTCCGGGACAAAACCCGCTCCCGCCCACGGACCGTGGCACCACGTGGAAACGACCTGGCTCCTCTGCGCCCCACAATGAGGCTGATGCCGACCTCGAGGGCGGTGTGGGCAGCCTGTGAGCGCGCAGCCGCTGCCGCCTCTCTGCCGCCTCTTTAACCTAAAGCAGGACCCACACACGCCCCTCCTGTTCCCAGCCTCCGTCCCACCGGCAGAGCCTCCTGCTTCCTCCCCGGCCGAGGGCAGGTCCTGATGGGAAACCCGCCTCGTCCATCACCTTCCCCCGGTGAAGGTCTCCTCTGCCTGGAGGCGGCCCGGTGCCCGTCTTCCTGCTCACTGACATGGTCCACTCGCTTTGGTGAGAACAGGTCCCCTGACTGCTCTCCAACGTGACCGTGAAGCCTTAGAGGCTTGCCACGTGCTCCACACGGCCGTCAGCTCTCCCATGAAGCAGACCCCTTCGCCTGCTCTGCCCCCCCCCCGGACCCCCGTTACAGCAGGTGCCTGTTCGCGGTCCGTTTACAGGTGCCATGGACCCCCTCACCGTCCTCACTCACTCCCCACCTGTCTCAGCACCTCCCGGCCCTGCCTTCCAGCCAATGATAGCCAGCAGGTTGGGCAACTGTCTCACCTACTCATTCAAGTGCGCCCTCTACTCCTTATCAAAGCACGTTTTAGTAACTAAAACCGGTGATTCCTTCCCTGCGGGTCCTTGACCTGCTTTTCGGCAAACGAATGCGCCCCGCTATTTGACGTCTAATCTACTCATCGAGACAGACCCCTGCCGGCTTTTCTGTGCACTGAGATCTCCGATACCCCAAAAAGGAAACCCGACTCTTTTACGGCAGGGCCTGGCCTGCTTTCTGCTCAGCCCAGGCCCTCTTGTTTATGAAAGGGCTAAAGAGAATAAACCGGGGCTGAGAAAGACTTCTTGTGCTCAGCGGACACCTTGCAGAACGCTTGCAGCCCTGAGCACAGCATAGCCCAGGTAACCAGAAGACGCCTGGCATGGGAGGAGCCAAGGACAGACCGGACCCTTACGTCGGCAGAGCGGCTGGCAGCCAGCAAGGATTGACAAAAACCTCTCTCGCCCTAGCTAGTCTGGCTCAGTGGATAGGGCGTCAGCCTGCAGACTGAAGGGTCCTGGGTTCAATTCTGGTCAAGGGCACATGCCTGGGTTGTGGGCCCAACTCCAATCCCCGGTAGGGGGCGTGCAGGAGACAGCCAATCAATGATTCTCATCATTGACGTTTCTATCTCTCTCCCTCTCCTTCCTCTCTGAAATCAATAAAAATATTTTTTTTAAATAAATAAATTAAATGAAAACCTCTCTCTCCTGCTCTCTTGGCTGATGCCTTTCTCGGTCTCAGCCCACCTGCACCCAGGTGCCTGGAATAAACCTTTTTGGATGCGTTATGGCCTCATGTCACAGGTGCACGACCCCGGCCCACCCCCAACCTTTCAGTTTACAGTGAAGCCCCTTTCAGGAAGGGTTTGCCATCCCAGCCACGTCATCGGCGCGGACACTCCCAGAGGCTGAGGTGGGGTGGACAACGACCCACCGTTGCCTAGCAACACACCACAAAGCCCTTCCTCACTCACCTCTGTCCTTGGGGCCAGTATCCACGAAGAAGAGTTTATCATCGGGGGCCTCCGACACCAAGCCCCTGGGAGATGGAAATACAGAATGTCAGCCACAAAAATAAAAATAAAATAAAGAACGTCAGCCACATCCTCTAGGAACTGATCGACTTCCAGATGCCGGGGAGGGAGCAGGGTGCTGCGGAAGGAGTAGGTTTCGCCTGGCAGGGGGGGCCCGGCTTCCGCTTATGCCCATTCAAGCACCCTCTTGCCGGGGTGGGACCCCTTCAGGCTAAGGCTTCCGCCGTCGGCTTACAGAACGCAATGCTTAAAGCCCACGGCGCCAGGCCGGGTGCACGGGTCACACTGACTCTAGGAGGTTACAGCACCGGTTTACCTGAATCCTAACTTAACCGGGAGTCCCGTACCTGGTCACCCTACCAAGTCCCTCAGCCGCCCACCCAGGTCCCCAGCACAGACGCTCCCAGCACCCCGGAAGCCCCCCCCTCCCCCCGCTCGGCCTCCCCGGACCGCACAGAACTGGGCCCAGCAGCCGGAAGTCCCGCCCCCACGCACCCGCTCGTGCGCTCCTGCAGCCGCACGTCCTCTAGGAACTGGTCGATTTCCAGCCCCAGCGGCTCCTGAGCGAGCCGCCGCCAGCCCCGCTTCTTGTTTCTGGGGCCTCGCCGCCGCCGCCTCAGCGCCGGGTCCACCGAGGTGGGCCGCAGCCCCAGGAAGCCGGAATCGGCCTCGCTTTTCGAGCGGAGCTTGCCGCTGCCGCCGCTACTGCCCGCCGCCATGTTGTTAAAGGAAGACTCCGGCTGCCGGAAGCGGAAATGCAGTGTAGGGCATGCGCGCGCAGACCCCCTCCCCCCCCCCGCGGCTCACTCCCGGCACCCACGTCGGTGGCCGCCATCTTGGTAAAGTGGGTGAAGGCGCGGGGAGGCAGCCATCTTGAGAAAGGGCAAATGGCTCCTCCCTCCTCCGTGGATTCCCGTCCGCCGCGGGTTTTTGGGTACTTGGCTCGCGCCCTCGCCAAACATCTTGCCCAGACGCCCAGGAATATTTTTAAATCGGAGTATTATTTTTTAAAAAAATAGTCTCCTTAGAAAAGAAAAATCGGAACCATGACTGGCAGATGCGGAGCGAGACACGTTCCAACCTCAGAGCGCTCGGCCGGTCCGTGTACCCACCCTGGAACCCCGGAACCCCGGGACCCCGCGGGCTCTCGGAACGTGGAGGTGGAGGCGCAGGAATGCACGTGCGGGGAATGTTAGACACGCCCTGTCGGGACCCCGCCGGGGCCGTGAACCTGGGGCCGCGAACCCGGGGCCAGCCACGGGGCCCGGCCTCGGTTTCCCCGCCTGCACAATGGGGGCGATAGCAGCGCCTCGGCCTCGGAGGCCTTTCTGAGGCAGAAACGAGGTCCGTGCATTTCTGCAACGCGCTCAGGAGCGTGCCCGGCGCCGGAAGGTGGGCCCTTGCCGTGGCTTCATCATGGATTCAACGACGTGTCCACTGTTTACAAATAAGGAAGGAAGCTCGGGGGCCCTGGCACCCGCCCCAGGGCTCCGGGGCCTCCTGGCGGCGGCTCTGGTCTCAGGGAGGCAAAGGCGCGGAGCGGGGAGGCGCCCCGGGAAGGAGCCGGGCCCTGGAAGCCCGGGCGCCCGCCGCCCGCCCCGCCCCCGAGCGGCCGCCAGGGGGCGCAGGGAGCCGCGTCCCGGGCGCCGTGGGTGTGGCCTGGGGCGTGTGTCCGCCGCCCAGTCCCCGGCGCGAGAGCGCACACGGGGTGCGGGGGTGCAGCACGGCCCCTCCCCAACCCCCCAGGAGCCCGTGCGTCCCCGGGGCGACGTGTCCGGAGCTGCGCGCCCGGTGCTGGGTGTCGGCGGGCGGGGCCGGCTGCGCCCGATCGCGCGCTCACAAGCCCGGTTCCCAGGCCCCCGCGCGGGCGGCGGAGGGAGGGGTGTCCCGGGGGGAGGGCCCCGGAGTAACTTTTCTACGGAAAATATGTCGCTCTGGCCCGCGGCCCAGACTGAGTCATCAGGCCCCGCAGCGTTGAGTCACGGCCTCCGCCCTCGCCCCTGAGAGCTCGGAGGGGACCCCCGCAAGTCCTGCCCCCCCATCTCCTCCCTCCCCCCCGGGGGTCGGAGCAGGGCGATCCCCCCACGGCCCGTCCCAAGACAGCCGACTGCCCCGTGGAGAGAAGCCTCGGCTTTATTGCTGGGGCCGCCGTCGCGTCCCGGGCCCCTCCCGGCACAGGGGGGTGTGGGGGGGGGGAGCGTGGGAATCCCAGCCAGCGCCCCGGAGCGGGCATCGTCCGCAGCTGTTTTCTATTTATTTCCCCGTCTTTTCCATGGGGTCCCACCAGCGTCAAGCACTAATAGGGGGGTGATGGCAGGAAAGGGGGGAGGGGGGGAGGCCCCTACAGGGAAGGGGGGGGCTGTAGCACCAAGAGCCTGTCCCCCCGAGACATCCCTGAAAAGGGGACTGAAGTTAAGCCCTGGGGTCTTTCCTGTGCGGTCGGGGCGCCACTTAAATATGACCTGATGGTGGGCAGCGAGGCTGGGGGGGGGGGGGGGGGCTTGGGGTTTCAGCCCAGGGCGGGCGGGCGGAGGATGTAAATGCCTCACAGTCTGGGGTGAGGATTTGGGGGGGGGGGGGTAAGGGGTCCATGTGCGGATGTAGGAGGTTGTGTCTTCCCTGGGAGTCCCCTAAGGCCTGAGGACATGGGGGGGGGGGTCCTTGCCTGGATGGGCAGGAGGAAGGGGGGCAGGGGCCTGTTGATTAGTCATTTCAACCAAGTGGCTGCTCTTCTATGGGGAGGGGGAGGGGTCCTGGCCAGAAGGCAGGGCGGGACTGGTTCTGGTTCGGCCGGTGTGTGTCTGTGTGTGTGTGAGTGACAGGCAGGCGCTCTCCCGGAGGGTCAGCTCCACGAGGGCACGCATCCGTGCCTCTTCTGCTCTCTGCTGGGATCCCCGGTGCCCAGAACGGGCCCCGGACACAGAGCGCAGTAGGTGCTCAATAAATACTTGAAGAGGGACGCCCTGCAGGACACCTCTGTGTGTTAGTGTGGGTGTGGTGTGCCTAAGTGGGCCTGCGGGTGGAGGTGGGAAGGGCGAGCGGAGAAGTCCGGCCCTTCCCCTGGTCCCCTCTGTCTGGGGGTGGGGGGGCAGAGAGGCCCCCATCCCTTCAGCTGGGCGGGTGGCAGGCAGTGCAGGTGGCCAGGGTAGGGGTGTGCGTGCAGCTGACGGAAGCTGGGAGCCACAGCAGGACAGGGGGGAGGGAGGCCCCGCCGGCCGCGCCGGCTCACTCGGCCGAGCCCTTGTGGCGCCGCTTGGAGGGCGGCACGAGGCGCCGGGGCAGGTTGGCGGGCAGCCCGTGGCCCTCGAGCTTGGCCTCGATGAGGTGGCTGGCCAGGGCGAACTCCTCGTCGTCCAGCATGCCGTCCCGGTCGACGTCGCTCAGCTTCCAGATGCGGCCCAGCACCGAGTTGGGGAGCTTGGTGCCCACCATCCAGGTCTTGGCCTTGGTGCCGCTCAGCTTGCCGTCGGCCGGTGCCAGGTTGTAGAAGATCTCGTCGTATTTGGACTTGTCCTTGGTCACCACCCACTCGGCCTCGTCGTCGTCCGAGCCCTCCTCGCCGTTCTCCAGGGCCTCGTCGGGCCCCCGCTCCACGAACGGGCCCATGTGGGTGCCCTCAAAGGCGCCGCCCTGCACGCCCACCTCGGTGCTCTCCAGCTCCTCCTGCCGCAGCAGGGGCATGAGCTTGGCGATGTCGTGGGTCAGCAGCTCGTCCAGAGTCTCCAGCAGCTTCGGCTTCAAGGAGTGGAACTTGGTGAAGTCGTGAGCCATCAGCAGCTCCTGTGGGGGCGGGGAGAGGACACTGGAAGTCAGGGGGCACCATCTCAAGGCCCCCCGGCCCCTGGTGGCACCGGGACGCTTGAGCAACCCGGGCAGCGGCGCGGATGTGTGTGAATATCCGCCTGGTACCCGCCACTCAGAAGGGACTGGGGAGCAGGGTCCCGGCGGCCGCCCCCTGTGCCGGGCGGGCCCTGGGATCACTGGACAGCTGGGGGCTCGGGGACCTCCCGTGACTCAGGCAGCAGCCTGGCAGGGGGCGGAGGAAGATTGCAACATTTTGACATCAGCTCCAGAGCACTCGAGTCGGCGCTCGGCCCTGCCCGCCCCCTTGGCGCCCCAGCTGCCCGGCCAGCACCCCACCATGATGCAAGTTGAAGAATGCGGTTCCTGCCCCTCTTAGCTCTGTCACCCACAGCACGGGCAGGGCTAAGGGCTGGCTGCCCCTGTGGGAGTTCGCTTCGGGACCCTTAGGGGGCCCTGGGGACTCCCCGCCCTTGAGTGTCTTCTTTTGCTGGAGCAGCTGTGGGGCTGGACCTGAGGCCACAGGGCTTCTCACCCAGGCAGCTCTCGGTCACTCACACACAGAGTCACGACAAACGCCCGTAATAACGGCAACGCCATTTCCAAAGCCGAGGCGGAGAGACCCACTGATCCTGACCGTGAAGAGATGGGGCTCAGTGGTTGAGCATCGACCTATGAACCAGGAGGTCGGGGTTCGATTCCCAGTCAGGGCACATGCCCGGGTTGCAGACTTGATCCCCAGTGTGGGGTGTGCAGGAGGCAGCTAATCAATGATTCTCTCTCATCATTGATGTTTCTCTCTCTCTCTCTCTCCCTCTCCCACTCTGAAATCAATAAAAATATTTTTTCAAAAAGTGGTGGGGGTGTGATGGTGAGGCGGAGGCAGGACTCCAAGGCCAGGCTGCAGGCGCCTACCCAGCGCTGCCACTAGGGGCTGTGTGTCCTCGGGCAAGGGCTGTACCTCTCTGGGACTCAGTTTCCACCTTTGTAAAACAGGTCGATAACAAGCACCACCCTCATTTGGGGGGATGGAAAGCTAAATTAATTCGTCTGGATAAAAATGTCAACGTAATATGAACAGCTGCAGCCCCAGCCGGTGGCTCGGTTGGAGGGTCGTCCCTGCACCAAAAAAGGTTGCAGTTCGATCCCCAGTTGGGGCACATAAGGGAGGCAACCGATCGATGTTTTGACATCAATGTTCCCTCTATCTCAAATCAATAAATGTATCCTCGGGTGAGGAGTAAAATAAAAAATACTCTAAAAATATTAGCAGCTGCTCTTAGCCCAGCAGTTCACAGTTGGCAAGCTCTAGAGATATTTTTGATTGTCACAGCTGGGGGGAGGTGGGGGGGGGGGGGCTACCACTGGTGAGTGGAGGCCAGGATGCCACTAACTATCCTGTGACAGTTCTCTGGCCCCGAATGGCAGTAGTGCTGAGGCTGAAAGGCCTTTTTTTAATATATATATTTTATTGATTTTTTACGGAGAGGGAGAGGGATAGAGAGTTAGAAACATCGATCAGCTGCCTCCTGCACACCTCCTACTGGGGATGTGCCCGCAACCAATGTACATGCCCCTGACCGGAATCGAACCTGGGACCCTTGAGTCTGCAAGCCGACGCTCTATCCACTGAGCCAAACGGGTCAGGGTGAGGCTGAATGGCCTTGAGCAAGTCCATACCCGGAGCCAGACCCTGTTCTGAGGGCTTTGAAAGCATTAGCACCCAGTGCTCGCGGCAGCAGGCAGACAGAGCTGCCAGGATGCCCATTTTCCAGCTGGAGAAACTGAGGCTCAGAAAACGAAGCCACTTGCCCAAGTTCACGGAGCTAAGTGAGCGGCCAAGACGAATGAATGCACTCTCCCAGAATCCCTCCGTCCTGGGCTGGAGACGTCTCAGACCCAAAGGTCACAGGCACTGCGGGTCAGCCCTCAGAACAGGCCCAGCCTGGGCCAGGCTGCTCCCGCCTCCGTGCCCGAGCCTGGACTCCTCTCCACGGTCACTCCTGATCTGCCCACCTCCTCTCCGTCCACCCGGACCCCCGGCTTTCCCCAGCACCCGTTAACCCTGGGCCTGGATACGCAAGGAGCCTCTCACTCGTCCCCCAAGACCAGCACTGGGGTCCCTGAATGCTACGTGCATTCCTGGCCACGTAGAAGAGAGACCACTTCCCAGCTCCCCTTGCAGTTGGCCAAGGCCACGACAAAGTTCTGACCAACTGGACGTCAGCACAAGTTACAAGTGCAACGTTGGTGGACTCGCCCTGTTCAACACAGTAGCCACATGTGATTATTTAAACTGAAGTGAGTTAAAATTAAATACAACCTAAAATTTCAGTTCTGATGTGGCTAGTGGTTACCGTTTTGGAGGTCGCAGCATAAAGCACTTTCATCATCGTAGAAGGTGCGTGGGACAGCACTGCTTTATAAAGAGAGAGACTGTCCCATTACCTCCCCCTCCCCTCCCCTCCCCTTCCCTCCCCACTCCTCGCTGGCTGGAATGCAGACGCAAGGGCTGGAGTCTCCACAGCCGTTTTGTCCCATGAGGGGTTCTTGGGCCTGGAGGCCAGGCCTGGAGGGGAACTAAGAAAGGGCTTGGGTCCCTGGCTTTGTGAAGCATAAACCAGCCCTAAATCTTCTTCCAGGACTTGTATTTATGAAGGAGAGAGATAAACTTCTACCCTAATTAAGCCATAATTATTTGGGGTTTTCGTCTTCACTCCCTTTTCCTACCTCATCAAACCACGCTCCCACGGAACCATTTGCAGGAGGTGCTTCCAGAACCTGCCATGCATCCCTCTGGTTTTCAAGGCCCCATCCGGGAGCCCACAGAAGCCTGCCCCCCTCCTTCCCCCCCCCACCCCGCCCCCCAGCCTCGCTCCGGGGCGGCCGCCCACCTGCATCTTCTGGCAGTCCGGAAAGTCGCCCGGCGAGATGTGATGCTCCAGCTGGATCTTAGCGAAGATGACGGGCAGCTTCATGATCAGCTGCTTCTTCTTGTTGTCCTTCCCGAACATGGAGGGCATCTCCTTCTTCAGGTAGCTGATGATGTACGCGTGGACCTGTGGGGGGAGTTCTCGCCTGAGCCCTGCCGCAGGCCACCCAGCGGCTCATCACAGGTGCCCAGGCCAGTGGGGCTCAGTGGGATGGGTGTCCTCCCATGTACCGAAAGGTTGCCGGTTCGCTTTCCCATCAAGACACATGCCTGGGTTGCGGTCTAGATCCCTGGGCGGCCAATCGATGTTTCTCTCCCTCTCATCTCTTTCTCCCTCTCTCTCTCTCAAAATCTTTTTTTAAAAAGGTTCCCAGGCCTCCTGCCTGGAGTTGCTGATACACTAGGTGCAGGGCGGGGCCTGAGATCTTTGCATTTCAGACTGTTACCGGGGAGCTGCTGGGCTGTTGCGGCCACAGGTGGAAGGGCCCCGCCTCTCTGGTGGGCAGCCTGGGCCCCTCCCAGGCTGAAGCGCCCTCAGCAGCATCCACTCCCAGACCCACATACAGACCAGCCTCGCCCTGCCCCTCCGGCCCCGGGCTGAGCCTGTCAACATTCCCGGGGGACGCGGTGTCTTAGGGCGCCCTCTGTGGAATTCGGGCCCAGCCCCCAGAGCTGTGTCCCCCTCAGCTGTGCCCGTCTTGGGGAACAAATGGCACCCCCACCTACCCCTCCCCAGCGGAGGCCAGAAGTCAGGAAATCAGTCCTGATTTCAATCTTCTTTCAGCTCCCTGGCCTCCTCCAACCCCAGGGAGTCCTTGTTGCGGGCCGTCGCCATCTCTTGCCTGGGGAGACACACCAGTCACCCATGGCCTCCTGGCTTCTCTTGTCCCTACAGACCCTTCTCCATGAAGCAGCAGCGGGAGGTTTTTGGGGTTTCGTTTGGTTGTTTGTTTGCTTGTTTGTTTGTTTTTAACATACTGTTATTGGTTTCTGAGAGGAAGGGAGAGTGAGAGAGATAGAAACATCAATGATGAGAGAGAATCATTGATCCGTTGTCTCTTGCACGCCCCCTACTGGGGATCGAGCCTGCAACCCGGGCTTGTGCCCTGACTGGGAATTGAACCTGGACCTCCGGATTCATAGGTAGATGCTCAACCACTGAGCCACACCGGCTTGGCTGTTTGTTTATTTTTTAAAGAACAAACACCAGACCAAGAGATGCTGCTCCAAAGGCTCAATTTGCTTTCCATCCAAGTTCAAAATTCCTACAAGTCCCTACAGCAGCAGTTCTCAAAGTGTGGTCCGGGGAACCCCAGGGGGTCTCAAGACCCTTTTGGGGTTCAGCCAACCCAAAGTGCCGTGGAACCTCAGCTCTCAAAGTTAATTCATCCCAGAAGGTGGTTTGACAGCCGAGTCATTCTTCCCATTAGCAACAATGTACATTGAATTAGTTCCAGACCCCAAATGAGTCCCTGTTTTAACCTTTCTTATACACAGTACATGTCTAATGGACTGGTTAATTGAGAAATAAACACTTCAAAAATGAAAAGGACATGAAATATGAATGAACATTTAACAGAAAGGAAAGGAACTGTGCAGTAAAAAGGGAAAATCTAATCATAAGCCGCAACAAGAGCCAAAAACACCCACGAAAATATTCACAATACAATTTCCTGGCTGGCAGACGCGCATTCTCTCGCTTGCTTGTCGCCTGGGAGACGTGACTGATCACACAGGTATCAGCACGAAAGGGGCGTTGGGGTGAGAAGCAAACTGTTCGATGGGAGGCCTTGCAGAGGGGAGCTGAGATCTGACTGTATTTGAATAATAAGAAGACGCTTTTTTCCTTTTTTTACTTTTCATTTCCGCCCGAGTGGACGGTGGAGTTATTCTTAAGGCTACAAGATAGGGGAAGCCAGGCAGCAAAGAGATTTTCAAAAATGTAGGAGAGGCACCCTGTCCTCCCTGACTTTTTTTGTTTCAAAAAAAGTTAATTTTTGCCCGGCCCGTGTGGCTCAGTGGTTGAGCGTTGACCTATGAACCAGGAGGTCAGGGTTCAATTCCCGGTCAGGGCACATGCCCAGGTGGCGGGCTCGATCCCCAGTGTGGGGTGTGCAGGAGGCAGCTGACCCATGATTCTCTCTCATCATTGATGTTTCTCTCTCTCTCTCTCCCTCTCCCTTCCTCTCTGAAATCAATAAAGAAATTATATTTTTTTAAAAAAAAATAAGAGTGTACTGAGGTCCTGAGAATGGAAGGTTTGAGAAGCATGCTCTGCCTGACTTGGCTGCTTCAGCTTCCCCGCCTGCCTTCCTGGCTTTACCAGATGCCACTCATCCCCCACCCCAGGGCCTTTGCACATGCCACCCTCTGCCTGGAACTCTGGCCTGGGCTCCCTGCAGCCGGCTCCCTCAGCTTCCTTTTGCCGTCACCCCCTCACACAGGCCATCCTCTGGGAAGCAGGTGCCCCCACCGCCACCATCCAGTTATTTTCTGTCTTCAACCTTTATCGTTTTGTTCACAGCATTTATCACAATTCATTATTATTTTACTGATATGTTGGTTGGCTTGTCCTGTCTCTTTCCATCAGACGGGGAGCTCCGGGCGGGCCGGGGCCTTGCCTGGGCCTCTGTCCTCCGCGCTGGCACGACGTGCGCACAAACACTCAAGAAATATTTGGAGCAGCAACCCATGCGCTGGCGGACCTCTGGGCCGCAGTCTCGTACGTTATCAAAAAGCAAACAACGAGAGCAGAATCATGAGCACACTACATCCTATTTTAAATAGGAAGCTAAAGAATGGCACGTATGTGCTTACACGAAAACAATGTCTCTAGGAAAAGGCACAGAAACCAATCGTGGGGCGGGCGGAGCCCTGAGAGCTGGGGGCAGGGGTGGGAGGGAGGGTGTCTGACAAACGTGAATGCTTTACCATGAGCCGGTCTCAACCGTTGGCTTGAAAACACTTATTAAGTGAATCATACGTTTAGAATGCTGGCAATTCTCTGGTGAGTCTGGCTGGTTCTGCACACACACACACACACACACACACACACACGCACCGTGTCCTCCGGCCACCCTGGGCTCCTGTTCAAGCAGATTCCTTCCTCAGGGCCTTTGCGCTTGCTGTTCCCTCTGCCTGGTATGGTCCCCCCAGATCTCCACTCAGCCCCCCTTCCTCTCCTTCAGGCCCCTCCCCAAATATCACCTCCTCGGGGAGGCCTTCCCTAACGCCCCTTAAACAGCCCCTCACCCATCTCTCTGTCCTCTGCCTCATTTTTCTTCAAAATCCTTATCGCATACGATATTACAGATTCATTTCATATCCACTTCCCCATTAAAAGGTAATTCTAGCCCTGGCTGGTTTGGCTCAGTGGATAGAGTGTTGGCCTGTGGACCTAAGGGTCCTGGGTTCGATTCCAGTCAAGTGCACACGCCCGGATTATGGGCTCCATCCCCAGATGGGGGTGTGTAGGAGGCAGCCGATCAATTTTTCTACTCCCTCTCCCTTCCTCTCTAAAATCAATAAAAATAACTTTTTTTTTAAGAAAAAGTGATTCAACAAGGAAAGACTGTCCGGCTTGCTCGCTGCTGTGTCTCCAGGGGACAGCGAGGGGGCAGGTCAGTAACAGGCAGTAACTGTTGGTTAAGTCACTGGGCAGCTCAGAGCAGCTCGGTATGAAGGTCCAGGGCGTTTGGCCTCGCTAGACTCAGACCTCCCAAGACCTTGGCCTCAAGTATCACAGCGCAGCTCCCCCCTGGCGGAAGGGCAGAGCCGGGGACTCATCTGCACCCTGCCTCTGAAGGGGGGGGGGCGGTAGTGGGGTGAGGCTGCCAAAAAGAGTCCAGAAGGGCTTTGCATCCTTGGGGGGGAGGACTTTTCTTTTTTTAAATCCCCATCTGAGGATATTTTCCTATTGATTTTTAGAGAGAGGGAAAGACAGAGAGAAACATCGATGTGAGAGAAACACATTGATTGGTTGCCTCCTGCACGCACCCCACCAGGCCTGAGCCGGGGAGGAGCCTGCTACCAAGGTACCTGCCCTTGACCGGAATCGAACCCGGGACCCTTCGGTCCACAGGCCGATGCTCTATCCACTGAGCCAAACCGGCGAGGACGAGAGCATTTGATTTGATTTGATTGATTGATTTTAGAGAGGAAGGGAGAGAGAGATCGATGGGCTGTTCCACTTATTCTGCATGCATTGGTCGACGCTTGTCTGTGTCCTGACGGGAGGTGGGACCCGCAGCCTTGGTGCATCAGGACGATGCTCTGGCCACGTTTGATGACGGGACTGACTGTGGCAGAAGCACGTGGGGCGTGGGCAGGTGACGGGGGCAGGGGCGGGGCTTGGTCACAGTGGACTTGGGCCTGGCACCGCACTGGGGAGCCACGGCTGGATCTGCAGCAGGGAGGTGAGAGGGGCCAATCGGGGCAGGGGTGTGGCTCGGTGTGGGCGTGGCCTGTGGCGCGGGCCAATGGGGCGAGGGGGCGGGGCCCTGGGGCGGCTCCTGGGGGACCCGAGCGGGAGGCGGTGGGACGCTGATGGCTTTTCCAGAGAGGAAGCGGGGGAAGGTGCCAGGAAGAGATAAGGTGGGAGGGCTCCGGGGTTTGTCCGGGTTTCCGGAGCCGCCTCCTGTCCGGCGGGGCTCCAGGTGTCCGCCCGACCCTGCCCCTCGGCCCCGCGGCCTGGGCTCCATCCAGCTCCGGCCTCTCTGCCTCCCTGGAGGGGCCTGGGGGCTGGGGTCCATGAGGGGCGAGGGCGAGCCCCAGGGAGGCTGAGACTGGGAGGAAGACAGAGGAGGAGGGAGTAGATGATGGTAGATGATAGATAGATGGATGGATAGATAGATAGATAGATAGATAGATAGATAGATAGATAGATAATTGATAGATAGATGATTGATAGATGATTGATAGATGGATAGATAGATAGATAGATAGATAGATAGATAGATAGATAATTGATAGATAGATGATTGATAGATAGATAGATGGATAGATAGATAGATAGATAGATAATTGATAGATAGATGATTGATAGATAGATAGATAGATAGATAGATAGATAGATAGATAGATAGATAGATAATAGATAGATAGATAATAGGATGAGGGAGGGAGAGGAGAGAGACCGAAGGAGGGAGAGGAAGAGATAATTAGAAAGAGAGGGGGAAGAGGGGAAGAGAATGAATGAGGGACGCAGGGAGAGAGGGAGAGAAAGGGAGAAAGAATGAGGGAAGGAGCGAGGAAGAAAAAGATCAAGGGAGAGGCTGAGAAAAAGGCAGAAGTAGGAGGGAGACCGCCCAGAGCCTGGCAGAGCGGGAAGAAAGGTGGGCTCTGAGGCTCCGGTCCACACCGCGCCCCTCCCTCCCAAAGAGGATTCCAGGGGTGGGGTGGGGGCTCTGACTCACCCGCTCCGAGCTGCTCCCTAAACCTCTGGCTCCTTCACCTCCCCGGCCTCCCTGCTCGCCCAGCTTCCTGCCCCACCTCCATCCTGGCAGCCGCCCCCACGAATGTTCCATTTGGCCTCCAAAATCGCCCTGAAACCAGGGCTCCCTGCCCTCCCCATGGCCCCGTCCAGGCTCCTCCTAGATCCTCGGTACCCAGCCCCCTCCCTGGTCTGTGCCCCGTCTCACGGCCCGGGAATCCACCCTCCAGAAGGCAGCTAGTCTGACGCTGTCCCTCCCTTTGACTGCACCCTCCGTGGCTCCCCAGTGTCTTGGGACAAAGCGCACATTCCTGGCCAAGCCCTGGGTGCTCTGACTCCCACACCTCCCAGCCTCAGAGGCAGTACCGCCTGCACCGGGTTCAACGGACATTTCCCCTCTTCCCTGAGCTTGCCATGTTCTCATCTCCAGCCTATGTGCTCGCGGCTCCCACTGTCTAGAACCTCTTCCCCTCCTGGTCCTCATCCTCCAGTTTGCAGCACAGGTGCCCCCTCCTCCAAGAAGCCTTCCCGGGTTCCCCCAGGCTCCCCAGTCCCAGCCCTGACCATGCTGGGTCTTCACAGGCTGGGGATGGGACTGCCCTGCACCACCCGGCACAGGGCCAGGCACAGAAGAGATTTTGTTAAATGCGTTTGTTCAGCGTCATTTGTTCAATAAATGTTTACTGAGCACCAGCTCTGTTCCAGGGGCTGGGGATGCCGTAGGGAACACGTTCAGAGAAAGATCCCTGCTTCTGTGGTGCTTAAATGCGAGCAGCGGAGACAGCAATAAAGAGCAAAACCCACTGATTGGGTAACTTAGGACCAGGTAGCAAGACCCTATGAAGAAAACTGCAAGACGGATAAAGCAGGACTTGCAGGGGGGAAGGGGTGGAGAGAGAGACGAAGGGGGTGTTATTTTCATAAAAAGGGAGGGCAGGCAGGGAAGCCTTTGAGAGGTGACGCTTGAGTAAAGACAAGATGCAGGTAGGTGACAAGTGAGCCAGGTGTACCAGGAGGGGTGAGTAGGGGGAGATCTCCAGGAAGAGGAAACAGCAATGCAAAGGCCCTGAGGTAGGGCTGAGGAGGCCAGTGTGACATGCAATGAATGATGGGAAGAGGAAACAGCATGTGCAAAGGTCCTGAGGTAGGGCTGAGGAGGCCAGTGTGACATGCAATGAATGATGGGAAGAAGAAACAGCATGTGCAAAGGCCCTGAGGTAGGGCTGAGGAGGCCAGTGTGACATGCAATGAATAACAGAAGGGAGTGGAAGATGATGGAGGAAAAAAAAAGCAGGGTGGGGTGGAGGGTGGAAGGGATGGCTGTGGACCACAGGGAGGGCTTGGTTTTCGCTGAGACAGGAGTCCTGGGCGGGACATGGTACAATCTGACTGGTTGCAGGTGATGAATGAAGGGATAACAGGACAGAGGAGAGAGAGAGACATGGAAAGAGACAGAGACAGGAATGCAATGGTAGAGGAACAATTCGCCACGCAATCCCGCCCCCGCCAGTCCCCTGGGCGCCAGAGTGCCCAGCCTGGCGAACTCTCTTAGATCGGACAGCTAACTACTCAGGGAGCTGGTCCGTTAGCAGCCAAGAAGAGGGTCGGAGGAAAGGCTGGCGACCCCCGGCCTCCCGCGCTCCCTGCCCCGCGCCCCGGGCCTGCTCACCCGCACCAGCCGGGCCCTCTTCACCAGGTCGTTGAGCTTGCGCAGCGCGGCGTGGCGCGGCAGGCCCTGGATGTCCCGGAACAGGTCCTGCTCCTCCAGCTCGAAGAGGCGCCGGTTGTCGGGCACGAGGAGCGGCTGGGACCAGAAGGAGCCGATGTAGACGCGCAGCACCTCGGGCGTGCCCACCACCTTGCCCAGCGCCCACATCAGCGCCCCGTACACGCGCATCAGCTGCTGCGTCTCCACCATGTCGGCCTTGTTGAGCACCACGCGGATCTTGTCCTCGTGGCCGCGCAGGGCGCCGATGGCCTCGGAGAACTCGTCCGAGATCTCCAGCTTGTGCGCGTCGAACAGCAGGATGATGAGGTCCACGCGCTCGGCGAACCAGCGCAGCACCGCCGGGAAGTCATAGCCTGGGGGGGGGGGGCAAAGGTCAGCCCCTCCCCCTCCAGCCATCGGAGGCGGCCATCCCTTTGGGGTGACTATCAGAATCGCTGTCTATGTGAAATAGCCAAGGTCCTGGGAGTACCCCACTGCTCCTGCTTCCCGAAGCCCCCAGAATTCCCCCCTTCACTCTGGCCCCAGTCCCTCAAGCCATCTAGCTACAGGGGCAATCAGCCCTTCCCTTTTCCATCCATCCATCTATCCATCCATCCATCCATCCATCCATCCATCCATCCCTCTATCCATCCATCTATCCATCCATCCATCCATCCATCCCTCTATCCATCCATCTATCCATCCATCCATCTATCCATCCATCCCTCTATTCATCCATCTATCCATCCATCTATCCATCCATCCATCCATCCATCCATCCATCCATCCATCTATCCATCCATCTATCCATCCATCCATCCATCCATCCATCCATCCATCCATCCATCCATCTATCCATCCATCCATTCCTCATTCATTCATTCAGCAGATGCTAGTGGTGTGCCTTGGTTCGGGTGTACAGATTGTTAAAATACTGCAGTGCTGCCCTAGCTGGTTTGGCTCAGTGGATAGAGCATCGGCCTGTGGACTGAAGGGTCCCAGGTTCGATTCCAGTCAAGGGCATGTGCCGGGGTTGTAGGCTCCATCCCCAGAAGGGGGCATGCAGGAGGCAGCCGATCAATGATTCTCTCTCATCATTGATGTTTCTCTCTCCCTTCCTCTCCCTTCCTCTCCCTAATCAATAAAAAAAACCAACAAACAAAACCCCACAGCAGCGCTGAGTGCATGGAACGAGTCAGGAAGCATGCCAGACCTGGTGGGCGTCATTCACGCCTGCCCTGTGCTGGGACACGGCTTGCTCAGGCAGCCCAGTCCTGCCCTTCCCGGACTCCGGGCCCACTGGGACACAGACCTGGGGTGGGGGAGCCCAGAGGGGATGCCTGACCCCGCCTGGGGAGTCTGGGAGGGCTTCTCAGAGGAGGGGCTGCGGAGTGGCCCCCTGGGGGACGAGAGGTTAACTGGCAGAACAGGGAGCCAGAGCTGATTCCCTGACGTCACTTCATGCTCTGCTGGAAAACTCACTGAACCTCCAAGCAGCCCCAGGAAGACACACACTTATGCCCCCTCCCCCCCTTTTCCAGATGAGAACATGGAGAGATTAAGGCAGTGGTTCTCAACCTCCTGGCCCTTTAAATACAGTTCCTCATGCTGTGACCCAACCGTAACATTATTTTCGTTGCTACTTATTAACTGTCATGTTGCTACTGTTATGAATCGTCATGTAAATATCTGATCTGCAGGATGGTCATAGGCGACCCCTGTGAAAGGGTCGTTCGACCGCCAAAGGGGTCGCGACCCACAGGTTGAGAACCGCTGGATTAAGGGCTGTCCTCAAACACACAGGTAAGAGGCCACAGACCAGGAGCCTCCACGGGCCTCCAGGCCCAGCTGGGGAGCTGGTGCCGGCCCAGCCTCCCGGGAGGGGAGGAAGCGGGCCCCTGTGGCCGCTGGGCCTGGAGGGCCGGGTGGGGGACATTGTTTGGGGGGAGGAAGGGCCGGTCACCAGAGGGACGGCTGCTGGGGCCCCTCCCTCCCGTTTCTACACAAACACACACACAGCCCGGATTTGGAAAGTGTGCCTCATGCGGGAGGGCCGGCGGAGGGAGATTGAGTCAGCGTGGGACTGGAGACGTGGCAGAGACAGGCCGGGCCTGCGCGCACTCACCCAGGAAAACAGTCCCATTAGCACTGCCGCAGCACCTACTGTGTGCACACACTGTTTTCAGTGCTCTGCGGGTTTTTTAAAACAGATTTTTATTGATTTTTAGAGAGAGAGGAAGGGAGAGGGAGGGAGACAGAAACACTGATGTGAGAGAGAAACATCGATCGGTTGCCTCCGGCACGCACCCCAACTGGGGATCGAACCCGACACCCGGGAATGTGCCCTGACCAGGGAATCCAACCTGCACGCGCTCAGCCAGCTGAGCCGAGCCTGCCAGGCACTCTGCACATTCTGACATCTAATTTTAACCCTCAGTGCAACCTGGGAGGCTGATACTATTATTATTCCCATTTTACAGATGAGGAGACTGAGGCACGGGGAGGTTAAGTAGCTTGCCCAGGTCCCACTGTTTAAAAATAGCGGAGTCCAGATTTGAACCTGGCCAGAGCGCTCCATTATGCTACAATCACACACACGCTCACTCACAGGCGCCCACCCAGCGCACACCCGGCCACAGGCTACAAGTTGCAGACGCCAAGACACACTCTTGCCCACAACCTGGGACCTTCACAGAGATCCGTGGTCACACAGGCACAGACGCGGAGACACGTACAACGTCACAGACACCAGCACGCGCACAAGCAGAGGCACTTTCATACCCACGATGCGCGCACAGCCCCGCAACCTTCCAGGCGCCAAGGCGCCCGCACGGACACGATCACATAGTCCCACAGAGGCACACCCCTCACACTCTCACTTGCACACACAAGCTCACACTGTGCGCAGAGAACCGTCACCCACAGTCCCTCGGAGTCCCCACAGCCCCCCACGGTTCTCCAGAGGCACACAGTGTCACAGCCAGGCCCAGGCACAGACTCCCAGGCGCGCGCACTCTCCCCCCCTGAGAAGGAGACCCTGCCCCCCCACCACACACACACACACACACACACACACACACGGCCTTTGGGCCCCCCTGGCACCCCTGCTCTGGTTGCAGACCCGCTAGGTTCCATTCTCCCAGGGACCCCGCCCCCTGCCTCCCCGCGGGGCTGGCGGCGCGCCCTCCCGATCGCTCCTGCAGCTGCCCCTGCCTCCTCCCCGGGGACGCGCGCCGCTGGGCCGCCGCCAGGGACGCCGTAACCCTCCGCGCCCTCGCCCCGCCCCGCGCCCAGCCTCCCGGTCCCCTCTGGCCCACACTGCTGCCTCCTTTGCCCCAATTCCTGGCCTCCCCGGCGCGGGGCGCGGGGCGGGGGGCAGGAACGCTGGGCGGGGGTGCGGGGCGCAGATGCGGAGCGCTCCGGGCAGCGGTGGGGCGGGCTCTGGAGGCCCCGCTGGAATTCGCCCCCCGCCGCTCCCCCTGCACAGCTGTTTATAAATTCCAGGCCGCCCTTGGCCCCCGCCCAGGTTCCCTCCCAGCCCCTTCCCAGCCCCATCGGCCCAGGCCAGCCAGGAGCTCCCAGTGCCCACGGCCTCCCGCCGGCTCGGCCTCCCCTCTGGGCCTCCTGTCTGCCTCCCTGCCTCGCTCTCTGAACCTCTCTCTGTCTCTGACGCTGTGGATCTCTCCCTGCCTCTCTCTCTTCATCGCTCCCTCTCAGTCCTTCGGGCCCAGACGTGCAGCTGCGGCCTGTTCACACGTGTTCACCCACCGCCTCCCCCACTGGCAACGTGTGCCAACGCGGGAGACTCAGAGCCTCTCTCCACCAGCTCCCTTCCATTCCGGGCGCTGACACAGGGCAAGTCCTAGCAGGGAGCAGGCCCTCCTCCCTCTGACTTGGGAGTCCCCGTGTAGTCAGCGCCCTCCTCCCTCAGACCCAGGGGTCCAGGCCCCCAGCCCCTCCTCCCTCAGACCCAGGGGTCCAGGCCCCCAGCCCCTTCTCCCTCAGACCCAGGAGCCCAGGCCCCCAGCCCCTCCTCCCTCAGACCCAGGAGTCCAGGCCCCCAGCCCCTCCTCCTTCAGACCCAGGGGTCCAGGTCCCCAGCCCCTCCTCCCTCAGGCCCAGAGGTCCAGGCCCCCAGCCCCTCCTCCTTCAGACCCAGGGGTCCAGGCCCCCAGCCCCTCCTCCTTCAGACCCAGGGGTCCAGGCCCCCAGCCCCTCCTCCCTCAGGCCCAGAGGTCCAGCCTCACTCACCACGGCTCACTCTCTGTTTGGCACCCGACAGGATGCCTGGGGTGTCGATGATACTAATGCTCTCCAGGACCTGGTTGGGGAGGTGGGCGCACATGAACCTGGGGTGGGAGGAAGGGCAGGGGTCAGTGCAGGGAGTGACAGGAGGAGAGGACACAAAAGAGGGGAAACCAGGGTGGCACGGAGCTTAAACCAGGCTCAGAGAAGGGAAGACTTCAAGCGAAAAGGGAGATGGGACAGACAATAAAAACCATTAAAAATCCAAGCTGGTGTTTACTGCGCATTTACTTTGTGCTGGAGGCTGTTCTCAGCACCTTCATGTATTGTAATTCACTTAGTCCTCAAACAACCCTGTGGTGGGGGCCAAGGGTGATCCCCATTTGCCAGATGAGGACAAGGGAGGCACAGAGAGGTCAAGACACTTGCCCAAGGCAACCCAGCTGGGCAGGCTGGCTCCCCCGGTGAAGCGCCGAGGCCGGACTGGGAAGGTTCAGGTAGAGAGAAAGGAATCGGGGAGAAACACAGGCGGGGAAGGGACAGAAAGGGCCCCCCCCCCCCCGGACAGGGAGAGGAGCCCCCTCGGGTGCCCACCTGTTGAGGAAGGTGTTTCCGAAGGGGTTGAGTTTGCGGAAGGGCTTCTCCGGGTCGACGATGAGGGCATTGCCCGGCACGATGCCCTCGGTCTCGCCGTGCATGACGGCCACGAAGCAGTCGGTGGTGGGCTCGGGCCCCACGCGGGAGCCGGGCACCTCCTGCTCCAGCAGGTACTGGATGAAGCTGGTCTTGCCCGTGCTGTACTGGCCGGCCACCAGCACCATGGGCTTGCTGTCGAAGTCGGCATCCTCCAGGGCCGGCGAGTGGAAGTCGCCGAAGCGGTAGTGCTCCTCCAGGGGCAGCAGCTTGCTGCGGTACAGCTCCTTGAGGGCCGAGGTCACAGTGCAGATGGCCTCGGGCCGCTGGCCCCGCGCCCCGCCTCGCTTCAACCAGCTGAACATGGTGGCTGCACACTCCCCACTGGGCGCTACCCACTGGGATCACCGCCGCCACCGGCTGAGGGAGACGCGCAGGCGGAGAGCTGCCTGAGGGAGAAGGAGAGGGGGTTGACGGAGGACTGCCTGGTGGAGGAGGAGAAGGAAGGGAGCTGAGAGGTGGGCCGGGAAGAGGAGGACGGTGGACTGGGCAGAGGGAGGAGCAGCGAGCCCTGCCGATGCCTGGCAGGAGGTGATGGCTGAAGGAGAATGGAGGTGATTGTCCCAGTCTAACGGCGGAATGACGGAGAAGGGGGGCTGGTGTGGAAGACCAAGGGATGGACAAGGGAAGGATGCAGAGGCCACCAGAAGAAATATATTCCTTCGCCTTTAAAAAATATATATTTTTATTGATTTCAGAGAGGAAGGGAGAGGGAGATAGAAACATCAATGATGAGAGAGAATCATTGATTGGCTGCCTCCTGCAGGCCTCCCACTTCCCAGACATGTGCCCTTGACCGGAATCGAACCTGGGACCTTTCAGTCCGCTGGCTGACGCTCTATCCACTGAGCCAAACCGGCGAGGGCATCCTTCGCTCTTTTCTTCTCCCTTCTCCCCTCCCATCATCTCACACATCATCGCTGAAATCCCTCCAGGAGTCAGGAATGATGGACCCAGAAACAGGCCAGAGACCACTCCCCCCCCACCCCCCTCAGAGCTCCCCGTGAGGAGAGGGCTGGGCACCACGCAGTCAGGGATGCCCGGGAAACGCCAGGCAGCGGACGTGTGGGCCCCAGGGTGGACGTGACGAACCGGCCACGGATCCGCAAACTCTGGCTGGGCTGATTTTAGAGCCGCTCCCTGCAGAGTGGGCCGGACAAGAGCATAGGCAGAGAGCATGGTGTGTGAAGAGGCCTGGAGTGTGAAATGCACGAACCGGGTGGCTGGACACAGGGGCGCGAGGAGGAGGGGTGAGGAGTAAAGCGGAGACACTGCCCAGGTGTGCCCGGGGCGTGAGGGGCCGGGGGCGTTCGGAAGAATAACTCCGCATGTGTGAGCACTGCATGCCAGCCTTTGTGAGGCGGGGATGTTACTATCCTCACTTCTCTGACCAGGAAATGGAGGCTCAGAGCGGCAGCAGTGACGTGCCCAAGAAGCTAGAAAGGGCTCAAGCTGGGACTCCGGGCAACCTGGCCTCAGAGCCTGCATCTTATCATCGGTCTGAGAAATTAGGAAGAGAAATAATTACCAACCCAGCGGCTAGGAGCACCCCCAGGCCCCACACTGTGTTCTCTGTATTCCCTCTCACCCTCTGTAGGGTCTGTAGTGATGTCCCTGCGTTCATTCCCGAGCTCAGTCACTGGTGTCTTTGCTCCCTCCCCCCTCCTGGATCAGTCTGAGTAGATGCTTATCGTTTTACTGATCTTTGCACACAGCCAGCTTCTCGCCATATTGGAGCCTCTAAATATCCTTTTCCACCAGAAGAAACCAGGGCTCCTTAGAGACACGGCTGATTCTGGGGCCGGAGCAGGGCAAGAAGTGAGCCTGGGTCAGATGGGGGGGAGGTGTTCAGAGACAGAGGGGGGATGGGGCATGTCACAGGGGCACCGGCCCCGGCCTGAAGGGACTCCCACTGGCTACAGATTGGACAGTTTGAGCGTCAAAAATAATTGCCAATCAGCCCGGCCGGCCGGAGCGGCTCCGTTAGCTGAGCATCATCCCGTGAGGTTGCGAATTCGAATCCCAGTCGAGCTGGCTCCCTCCCCAGTGGGGTGTGTGCAGGAGGCAACCAATCCACGTTTCTCTCTCATCGATGTTTCTCTCGCTCCCTCCTTCTCCCTTCTTCTCTCTGAGGAGCAGCACATATTTAAAAAATAATTGCAGATCAAATATGTTTTAAAATCATAACGAATGTTTTTTTAGGGAGGAGTCAGGGAGGAGAGGTAAAGAGGAGGCAGGAGCTGGGACCGGGCTGTGGCCGAGGGAGGGGGCCGGGGTGGTGTCCTAGGGCGGGTGGGGCCCGGGGGACGTGGCTGGAGGGGTGCTGGGTGGCTGGAAGGGCGATGGAGTTGGGGAGGTGGGAGAGGAACTTTTGGGTGAGGGAGGACCGGGTAGGACCAGGAAGGATGAGGGCGGCGGAGGGAGACCCAGAGACGGGATCGCCCCGCGGAGAGGACGGGGAGGGGAATTGAGAGCGACTGGTGGAGACTGGGCGAGACTGGGGGCGACGCAAGAGTGGGGGGCATTGTTGCAGACTGGAGGGGCTGGGGGCGTGGAAAGGCCGGTTTCAGGAGGGCCTGGGGGCGCGGGAGACCGCACACTCCGCGGGCGGGGACTGAGGGTCCTGGGCGAGCAGGGGCGCCTCGGGGGCCCGGGCGGGCTCGGGGCTGGGTGTCGCGGAGGCTGGGAGCGACCGCCGCCGTCGGGGGCCACTCACCGATGGGCGCGCGGGCGGCCGGGCAGGGCGGGCGGGCGGGCTGGGCGGGGGTCCCGCGGGGATCGGAGGCGCCCGCGGAGCGGCCTGTGCTCGCGGTCCCGTCCGGAGCCGTCTGAGCCGGGTGGGGCCTGCAGCCAGGAGGAGGGAAGGGAGGGGCGGGGGGGGCGGGACGAGGCGCCCCCCCTCCCCAAACGCGGCGCCCGGCCTCTGGCGCCCCCTGGTGGGGAGCGGGAGGGCGCCTTCGCGAGGTGGGTAGGAGCTGGGGTTTCATTCCCCGTTCAAATTCGGGTTCAAGTTCTACCTCCACCTCGGGCTCTGGGCCACTCCCTGATCCCTGCCACCCTGTTAGAAACACACATTTTTATTGATTTCAGAGAGGAAGGGAGAGGGAGAGAGAGAAACATCAATGATGATGGATCGGCTGCCTCCTGCACGCCCCCCACCGGGGATGGTGACCTCCTGGTTCGTAGGTCCAACCACTGAACCACACCGGCTGGGCTCTGCCACCTTCCTTTTTTTTTTTAATATATTTTATTGATTTTTTATAGAGAGGAAGGGAGAGGGATAGAGAGTTAGAAACATCGATGAGAGAGAAACATTGATCAGCTGCCTCCTGCACGCCCCCTACTGGGGATGTGCCCGCAACCCAGGTACATGCCCTTGACCGGAATCGAACCTGGGACCCTTCAGTCCGCAGGCCGACGCTCTATCCACTGAGCCAAACCGGTCAGGGCTCTGCCACCTTCTTAACATGGGAATAAAAAGAACAACCACAACAGCAGCGACAATAATGGTGATTAAAAGGCTTAAGTGAGCCCTAACCGGTTTGGCTCAGTGGATGGAGCGTCGGCCTGTGGAATGAAGGGTCCCAGGTTCGATTCCGGTCAAGGGCATGTACCTGGGTTGCGGGCATATCCCCAGTAGTGGGTGTGCAGGAGGCGGCTGATCGATGTTTCTCTCTATCCCTCTCCCTTCCTCTCTGTGAAAAATCAATAAAATATATTTTTTTAAAAAAACATATCCTCGGGTGAGGATGGAAAAAAAGCCTTAAGTGAGTTCAGGAAACTCCTCTGCTCGCTACTCTCCCCGGCTCCTCACACTCAAAGCAAAAGCCCCCAAGGTCCCCCACAACCCGCCCTCCCTCTGCCCGCACCTCCCGCCCTGTCCCCCTTGCTCGCTCCCCGCCAGTCACTCTGTTCCTCCAACAAACACAGCAGCAACCCTCCGACCCCAGGGCCTTTGCACGTGCTGTTCCCTCCACCTGGCAGGAATGGCTGTTCGCGCCTCTCCCTCGGTCTCTGCTCAGACACCACCCCCTGAGAGAAGCCCTCCGGCATCTGTTCACTGCAGCGCCGCCCTCTGGCCACTGTGGCTGCTCTGTTTCTCTCCAGTTCTTCCCGCCCTACGGGCTCCACATTCCTCCCCTGAAGTTGGTTGTCTCCCCACAACAGCAGGAGCCCAGGAGGGCAGGGGTTTCCAACTGGGCGGCTCAAGGCCGTGTCCCAGCCTAGCCCAGTGCCCCGCACCCGAGAGAGGGGCTCGGTAAGTATTTGTTGCGTGAAACCCTAACGCAGTGGTTCTCAACCTTGGCTGCACATGAGAATCACCTGGGAATCTTTTTTTAAATCCTGATTTCTGGGCCTCATCCTCTGGAAATTCTGTTTCTTTTTACTAATGTTGTGGCCTCACCCCATAACAAAGAAGCAGAATTTCCGGAGGGTGAGGCCCAGAAGTCAGGATTTTAAAAAAAGATTCCCAGGTGATTCTAACGTGCAGCCAAGGTTGAGAACCACTGCCCTAACGCTTACAGAGCGCCTCCTATGGGTAAGCACTGCTCTAAGCTCTTTGAATTCTCAAATATCCCGGAGAAGTAGGGATGATTATTCCCATTTTACAGGTGAGGCAACTGAGTCCGGGAGAAGTGGATTCAAAAAACCCAGAGCGCCATACCTGGTCCATGGCAGGTGCTTAGAAAATATCCGCTCCCTCTTGCCCTAAGCCAGTGGTCGGCAAGCTCACTAGTCAACAGAGCCAAATATCAACAGTACAACGATTGAAATTTCTTTTGAGAGCCAAATTTTTTAAATTTAAACTATATAGGTAGGTACATTGTTATTAACTTAATTAGGGTGCTCCTAAGGCTTAGGAAGAGCCACACTGAAGGGGCCAAAGAGCCGCATGTGGCTCGCGAGCTGCAGTTGTTGACCATGGCCCTAACCGGTTTGAGCATTGGCCTGCGGACTGAAGGGTCCCAGGTTCGATCCCGGTCAAGGGCATGTACCTTGGTTGCGGGCACATCCCCAGTAGGGGGTGTGCAGGAGGCAGCTGATCGATGTTTCGCTCTCATCCATGTTTCTAGCTCTCTATCCCTCTCCCTTCCTCTCTGTAAAAAAATCAATAAAATATATTTTTTTAAAAAAGAAAGAAACATCCGCTCTCATCATGCAGGTCCCCAGCTGTGTTTTCTCCTGGCGGGAGCAGGGGAGGGCAGGGGGACGGGGGCGGGGCGGGGGGGGGGGGGGGGGCTCAGAGCACCAGGCCCCAGTCAATGCCCCGCCCTGCTGCCTGCTTGGTGGGCCCCTCCTTGCCTCCCTGAGCCCAGTTCCTCGTCTGTCTTCCTTCCCAGGACCTTCCCTGGCGCCCCAGGCACCTCCTCCCTGCACCTGCCCTGACGGCCCTGCCCGTCCCCACCCCCTCCCCAGTCCCCACCTCCTCCCGCTCCTTCTCAGCTCTTATCAACATGGGCCAGGGTATGTCTGTTACTTATTTTACTTCTTTTCTTTTCTAAAAAAATATATTTTATTGATTTTTCACAGAGAGGAAGGGAGAGGGATAGAGAGTTAGGAACATCGATGAGAGCGAAACATCGATCAGCTGCCTCCCGCGCGCCCCCTATTGGGGATCAAGCCCGCAACCCAGGTACATGCCCTTGACCGGAATCGAACCCGAAACCCTCCTTCAGTCTGCTGGGCCAAACCGGTTAGGGCTTACTTCTTTTCTAAAATGGATTTTTATTTTATTTTTAATGTTATTTGTTGTTGTTGTTAACCCTCACCTGTGGCTATTTCTCCAATGATTTTTAGAGAGGGTGAAAGGGAGGGAGAGACACAGAAACATCGATGTGAGAGAAAAACATCGACTGGTTGCCTTTTGCACGTGCCCAGACCAGGACGGGGGATCAAGCCTGCAACTAAGGTACACGCCCTTGACCAGACCCTTCAGTCGGAAGGCTAACGCTCTATCCACTGAGCCACACCGGCCAGGGCTAAGTTACTTAAAACATCTCCCCAGCCCCAACCCATAAGAAAGTCATCTACCCGGGGGCAGGGATTTGGGTCTGCTGTGTTCACTCTTCTTGCCCCCACGCCTAGAACAGTGCCTGGCACACAGCAGGCTCTCAGGAAATACTTAAGTGGCTAAATGCAGCGATGGCCATATATGTAAATACTAGAGTCCTGGTGCACGAAATTCGTGCACTGGGGGGGGGGTCCCCAGCTTGGCGTGTGCCCTCTCACAGCGCAGGAACCCCGCGATCCATCTCCCCAAAGAGGTAGGCCCTGCACACCCGTCCAGGGCTCCTTGATAGATTGCCTCAAAGAGGTAAGCCAGAGCCGGGGGGGTCCCACCTCTGCCCCCTGTGGCGCCGCCTCAGTGCCACCCACACAGCGTCAAGTCCCCGCCCACCCGCACGCACCTCGCCTGGCACGCGTCCTCGCTCACCTGTGCGCGCCCGCTGCGCATGCAGCCTCCTGGTGACGGATTGTTACGGCCTGAGGGCATCACGGCGTGAGGGCGTGACGACCACAAAGGCTTGTATTAGTATAGATATGGAACGTGCAGTGACTAATGATATTACCACTTAGAGGCAGGCCCTATTCCATTCTCTTTTATTATTGATTTTTAGAGGGAGGGAGATCGAGGAAAACATTGATATTTTATGTTCCACTTATTTGTGCATTCGTTGGCGGTTGCTTCTGGTATGTGCCCTGACCAGGGATCGAACCCACAACCTTGGGGTATTGGGATGGTGCTCTAACCCACTGAGCGGGTCAGCCAGGGCCCAGGTCTATCCGGAAAGCTTGCCATGGACCATCTCCTTTCCCCCAGGAGGCGTGACCCTCTTCTTATATTTATTATGTTATTAATCCTTGGGGGAGGATTAACAACAACAAAAATGTAAAGACATTATTCTGGGCAGGGTCCGTGGCGTGAAAGCCCTGCCTCATTAAACATTCTTTGAGACTTAATAAGGGGCTACTGTCTCCTCGAGCTCCCTGCCTGCTCCCTGCACCAGGAGCTCTCGGAGGCCTGCCCCCCGTGCCTACAGCTTCCCCGACGCCCCCACAGCCTCTGGAGCCCCCTCCCTCTTTCCCCATCTGTCATAACCGGGTGGAGAAATTCTGGCACATTTTACAACATGGGTGGACCTTGGAGACATTGTGCCAAATGCAATAAGCCAGCCCAGAGCACCAAATACTGCGTGGCTTCACGCCTGTGAGGCGCTTAGAGCAGGGACATTCATACAGACAGAAGGTGGCTGCCAGGCCCGGGCGGTCATGTTTCATGGGACGAACTCTGCGTTTTGCAAGATGAAACAAGTTCCGAGGGTGGATGGTGGTGACGGTTACACCGTGTGAGCGTACTTCATGCCACCCAGCTGCTTAGCAAACATGGCGGAACGGTAAATTTTATGTTATGTATATTTGACCACGATTTTTAAAAAAATGGAGCCTGGCTGGTGTGGCCCAGTGGTTGAGTATCGACCTATGAACCAGGAGGTCATGGGTTCGATTCCCAGTCAGGGCACGTGCCCGGTTGCAGGCTTGATTCTCAGTGTGGGGTGTGCAGGAGGCAGCCGGTAGATGTTTCTCTCTCTCTTCCTCTCCCTTCCTCTCTGAAATCAATAACAAATAAATAAATAAGTTAAAAAAAAAAAAAGACGGAGAAGGCAGCCAGTGAGCCTCGGAGTTACTCAATGAATTGCGGACTCTTTAGTCTTGGGTTCCAATCCTGCTCCGGGCCCAGGTTACTTGGGCTCCGAGGTAACCTTTGGGGCCTTTTCCCAGATGGGGGATAGTGGGACCCCCTACAGACACCCACCAAGC